ATAGATGAATAGTGGTTCCGCTGAAATATTGTAGACGGTTATAAATGATCGTAAAGTTTATAGAATTATTAAGCAACATGTCAACTCTAAAGGCTCAATACTTTTTTTGGAAGACAATTAACAACAAACCTGTCATATCCACACTAATACCCCCCGCAAACCTGTCATATCCACACGAATACCTTCCACAAACCTGCCATATTCACCCTAATGCCCCCCACAAACCTGTCATATCCACCTATTCTAATACCTAGTATATCACACACCCTTTCTGTTGATGGATATACAATAAAAAAAATAAAAAAAAAATCCTGGAATACGTGTCGTAATAATTAAAACTCATTGAGTCAATTAATTCGATTTCTTTAAATTCAAAGCTATTTATATAGTTTAATTAATATATATTTATATATACTTTAATTTTGAAATTTAGCTTTAATTAATTTGTTTATTTTGTTCTGTTTTCTTTTTTATTTCTTTCTTTTAATATTTATTTCATATTATGTAAACTTTTTAAATAACTTATTTTTAATTGTTTGTAATAAATTTTATTTTTTTATTGAATATATATTAAAATTGAAACAATTTTCGTGCGTTGTTTTATCTTGAATACAAATATCGTGCAGATCGTGTAGAAAGAAAATAAACCACATAGACTTACACAGTTAATAATTATACAGAGAGTTACAGCTATCGGTAATTAGAAAGAGTTTCTAGTTGACAAGTATTTGATTTTGTAGTTTAGAGTGCATGAACATATATATATATATATACATATATATATATATATATAAATATTTGAATAAATAAATATTTAATTTTGAGAATGAAAATAAAATTTAAAATTTAGAAAATTGATTCAATGAAAATTTTTTTGTGAAACATGCGGATGTGGAATTAAACTCGTAATCATAAATAAATAAAAATAAATAATTTGTTATTTTCAGTATATTGTGTATATGTATGTAGGTACTTGTAAAACTTAAAAATCAGCAATGGCCAATGACCCTAAAGAGAGATGTTTGTTTTGTTATAAAAACATGATCGAGATTCCAGAGAGTAACCTTGAATGGACTAATAAATGGAATAAAAATATTTCTTAAACAAAGTCTACAATGGAATTTTGGCTCATAGTGGGTTAATATTTTACTCGAATAGTTAACTGTGTACGATGAGTATATACATCATGATCCGTCCATCCGTCCCTGTAGAATTTCCTCATAAAATTTTATCATTACGAATATGCATTTGCCATTATAATGTATTTGTCAGTTTGTCGAGTCGTTTTATTACAACCTAATTTCACATTACACATGCTCTGTGCATGGCGAGTATACGAGTATATCGCTAAGGCTATAGGCCTAGTGAACTAATTAATAAGACTGTAACTTATAAATACTTTTGCATAAGAACTGCAAAGGATCACAAGGAGAATTTCTTTCGTAGTTACAACAGGAAATTGACGATCGGATGGACCAGGCGGGCATGCCTAGATCGATTTAGTGTAGAATGGATATTCTTTACAGGTTCTCTAATGCTTTCCTTTGGGTGTTCCAAACGTTTCGACACATATGATGAAAATCCCCCATCTTCGGTGATCAGTCAGGCTGACGTGTAGATAATCATGACAGCGACGAAGGACTAAGTTGCCTGAATAACTGTTTAGCAAAGGTTTAACATTTTGATCCAAACAAATTTTTGTAGATTGCATTTCTAAAGAAATGAAACCGCGTATTTACGATAAAACATAACGAGTACCCATATGTCGTGGACATTGTTCTGATTTCAAAACTTTGCAGATACTATGCAGACAAGGAGACAAGGAGGCTGATATAAATTTATAGGACTAGGGTTATCAGAATAGCAGCCAAGCTGGGCAATTACTCATTTCAAAAGTCTGTGCCGTTGCAGTAAGGCGAAAGGGGGGCTATCGATGTACCTAATGTGAATATATTGACTTTCGAAATGTCGTCAGATTGGTTGGAATATCACAACATCTTTATAGCTTGAAAGTTTTCGAAAATAGTATACGTCACTCTTTGAATTTCTTAAATCACTTCAAAAAGTTGAGTTCTTCTTATTTAACCCCCAATACCTATCTAGCACGGGAATGAGCAGTAGAAAGAGAGCCAAGTTGATAGAGGAGGGAAAGGGGAGATAGGGGGAGAAGGAAGTAGTATTTGCGTTACGGTTACACACATGTGCGTCGTGACATTTTTAAAGACCCTTGTAATAGATCGTTGACTTCATTTTACCATAGGTGCGGATCTAAACACTCGAACAGTAGCTGATTATGGTGTATTGTATTGCAAATGTATCGCAAGCGCATTTAATTGGCTTTAGGAGCCTTTCAGACAATTTGCTTTCTACGACAACTAAAACAATGCTACTGATGGGCAGTCACACAAGTAATTATCAGAGCATTGAAATATACTTGCAATAGTTATACAACTACAAATGTAAATAGCATGACTTACAATAGTATTTCAGTTAATATGTAAACGAATTAATACAAAAATATAATAACTTTATGTAATCAGCAGCTTAGAAGAAAAAACAGTAATGATTGCGAATTGTATTTTTAAAAATTCTTCTTCTTCTTCTTCTTCGAAAAATACGGATGATTACACGGTTACATAAGGTTTCTTAACTTTATGTTAGGCAATGGGGTGGAATATCGTTTAAGAAGAGAGAAAGTCGTAAATACAATGTTTCTTTGAGAATTTTGGATACGTTTTTATTGAAGAAGACTTTTTTCGCGCCGGTAGCCTTATTAATGCAAAGTGAAAGAAATACATTTCTACTGCAGGTGGTAAGCATCTTTTGGCTAACGTTCTCTAGGACTTTAGCAAACCGTCGCAATAATGCCGTAAAGCTTCCTAATTTCGTTCCAATATTAAATAAATTATTTCCTAAAGTATTTTATTAGGATTACATTTTGTCTCGATCTACTTAAGTCCTTTTTCGCCCATTCAGTTAATCCTGTCAACGTGAGCTCCATGGGTTTTTCCGCCTCGCTGTCTCCGCAAATCGAAAGTCTCATTCAATTTAAAGCGAACAGGACTGTTTTAGTTATTAAACCGATTTTTCTCTGTTTGCTTTTGTGTAGAGAAAATATCTAGTTAAGAGACTGACAGATATTTAATGAAGGAACTAATCTTATCCTTATTCCTTTCTATGGCGTTAGTACAGTGATCATATTCGGCTATTTGCCCATTTGTCTTTGGTTAAATCGGTCCATCCGTCTTCTCGTCGATGCTTCTGTCTGCATTTTACAAACTTGAAACATTCGTAGACCTGTCTTAAGGCGAAGGTAGCCCTTTTGCTTAATATGTAGGTTGTCTTTACAGAGCAAACATCTGACTGACAGATAGACTGACAGACCGACATACAGACTGATTGGCTGACTGACTGACTGACTTGCAAACAGGCAGGCAGACTAAATGACTGTCTGACTGACTGAATAAATGACAGCCCGACAGACAGTTTGAGAGACAGACTGCCAGACCGACAGACAGGCTGACAGACAGACAGAATGAATGACTGTCTGACTGACTTGCAGACAGACTGACTGACTGACAGACAGACAGACTGACTGATTGACTGACTGACTTGCAAACAGACAGGCAGACTGACTTACTGACTGAGTGACTTGCAGGTGGACAGACAGACTGAATGACTAACTGACTGGCTGACTTGCAGACAGACTGATCACTTTTAATCTCACCACTTTTTTCATAACGAATCATACTACGTTGTGGTGTGAGTCACTTGCGAAAATTCAGAAAGTAAACAAAATGTCAACTTATCCAGACAACTTGGATATAGGCATAAAATATCGTTCATACGATATCGAAAGGCTGGCTTTATTTTTTGAGGCAAGTTATGTATAAACTTTGGTTCAGCTTATAGCCCGTAAAGATGCTGCGCTTAGTGTTTTAAAGCAGTATGCATAGTACGTCAACGGTCCACCATTAAATATCCTCCAATCCTCCTTCCTTTAATACCGTTATGGCCTATATTCGAAAGCCTTTATATGGCAAGTGATGAAAACAAACATCGGCAAACATCGGCAAACATCAGACGGACAGATGGACAAACAAGGGCAGATAGCAGGTATAACAAAAAAGATTGGTATGGATCTCAAGTCTTTTTGCATGTTCTATACATCCGCACAAACTTAACGTATCCCTGTATCACAACTGGTGTAGGCGATAAACATAATTTCGCTCTTTTGCAATGCACTTGAGTGACTGAGAACTCGATAGAACGAAATGTGGTGAATATTTGTGTTTAATATTTCAATTAACTGTAAAGCGCTACTAAAGCACATAACCACGAGAACCATAAAAACAATTTATGCCATTAATGTGGTAATTTGTATTGCCGCTTTGAAGTGTATAAGTAATTCAAAATGAAAATTAATTCATTCCGTACATTGGCCTTGACTGTAGACATCAAATGTAATGATATCCTTATGTAGGAAATTGATGAAAGGTTCAGTTAAACGGAGTAGAGATCCGCGTAAAAATACTTTTTTTTTTTATTAGATTTTAATGAGATTTATTTAAATATTTAAATAAAATTATAATGAAAGGAAGCAAAGTAAATAATTTTCTAATGAAAGTTGCATTAAAAAAAAAAAAAAAAAAAACATATGATAAGGAAGAAAGAGGAGGAAATTAAGAAAATTTGCTTTTCAATGACATAGAGTAAAAGCTTACTGGCTTGAAATAAAAAATTATTGTAAATATTTGAAATTAATAAACTGGTCCCCACATTAAGTTTTTATGGTTATTTTGTTTTGCTAAAATTTTGTATATAAAAAAATGAAAACTACTTTTTTTCTCTTCTCTTCTCTTTTCTTCTTCTTTTTTTTTCATTAAATTTATAAAAAAATACACAATAACTTGTTATTATATTTTTTTCTTTGCTTTTGCTTTTTTTTTTATTATTATTATTATTATTATTAAAAGTTAATTAAATAAGCTAATGAGTACATATACGAGTGAGTATAAGTAAATTTTTTTTTCTTTTTCTTTATTTCAGAAATGAACAGGAAAACTGTTCTCATAAGTTTGTATTTGATTTTTCTTTTATTTATTTATTTATTTTTTTCATTTTAATTATTATAAATTTTTAGTTAAATACATACAAAATGTAACTATAATCCATTAAATGTTTAGACTATACATTTAAAACTTGTATCTCTTTCTCTCTTCCTCTATCTTTTCCTCTCTCTCATGCGTTCGGTTACACGTTGTCGTTCGCTTGCTCGCAGTTTCTTTCGTTCCCTCTGGTTACCCATCTCTCACTCTCTCTCGCGCTCTCACTCTGTTGTTACTTTTCACTTTATTATCATATTCTTTTCTTGCATTGTTTTACTTGCTTTCCGTCCAATCAGTGCATTAATAGGACTCGAATCAGATTTCTTTAATCAGATATATCTATACATCCGTCATACAATCCATGCATCATTCAATCTCTGTGGGTGTGTGGGTGTGTGTGTGTGTATGTTGTCTATTACTGCCAGTTTATTGTAAACTGCAATCGTCCGATGCATTATTAATTTGTTGTTTTGTTTTACGAGATGCTCGTCGTATCAAGGATCTATTGAATATTTAATTATAATTTTTTCATTTAAAAAGAATTAATTAATAGTTTAATGAGTTCTTATACATATTTTTAATTTAATTTTCACTATGCATTTTTTTAACACTAGTTTTACCAGATCTGTGCAGGAATCAAAAGCGAACATTAACTTAATTTCAAGATGGATTTAAAATGATTTATTAGACAATTTCGCGGTTGTATATACGCAAAAGTCCTTGCTTTCGAATTTTTCAAGCCATTTATTATTTATGTAACTTACAGAGCTTAACAGGGCTAATTGCTTTCTGTCAAGGTCGGGTCTCGTTTTGTTTCCATACCGTAGGTTAAGGATAGGCTAAGTACACTAAGTAGGTTAATACGCGACGAGACAGAGACAGAGATCATTTCGAATGATCCGCTTGCAACGCTGCTGATTCGAGAAAAGATAGTGTGAACGTCCGATTTCCGTTTCGTCTTTTTTCTGCCTTCGACTTTCGAGTCAGCAGACATGCTCACCTATGTCCATATATAAGATCGGTTATCCTTAGGCAGCGTAGCTAAATACAATGTAATTACCGTCAGCATGTACGTGCGAGTATAGCGTTTTAATAGCGAATAAGTGCTCAAATTATAATCATCATCAGGACTTAGTTAGGAAAATACATCTAATCCGGGTTAATTTGGACGAATGAACTGTAGTCGTGATGCATACATTTTTGTGTAGGCCCCCTAGTATACTCACTGAGTGTTACCCCAACGTAGGGAGTTAGACAATAAATTAAAATTACTTCTGCCTTTGTTAGGCACATTTTACGTCCTTACGGTATCTGCCTATCAATTCACATGTCCACCTTACTCAAGAAACAATTCTTCGCAATTCTTGAGCTTCAAACATTGGCGAATTTTTTTTTTAAGATTAATTTTGAATTAACTGTATGGTGAGTACCTACATGTCGAAAGGATCTCTCATTAAGAGCGATGCTTTTTACATTTGCAAATTCCAGTTTCTAGGCATGAACATATTCAGTGCAATTTGCAGTTTCATCATGCTTAGACTGCCGGTTCCAGCTAGGTTAGAAAATGCTGGTAAAGTGGCAGCTCATCGCTTGTTCACAAGAGAATCGTGTCATTATCGTATTCCATCTTTTCAGGCCGCCGAGATGGCGGTTTTTGGGGCCACATCTAAGATCAGGTCTACAGACCCATGTGGAGGCGGACATTCGTCAAACGATGGCGGACATTTAAACGATATTTTCTTCAGAAGACACACACACACACACACTACAATATCTAATTCCTAAAATAAGGCATAAATTACTTTCGCATAATGTTTTATCTGTTGATTTTGAAGCTCTCTAATGCGCTAGCAGATCTCTCTACAGGGTACTTACGCTGTTTTATAATCGCTTCCGAAAAGAAATACGTTAGTGTAGCTTCATTGAGTCAACTTTTGGGGGGGTATGAAGCTAAAAGCGTTTCCGAATCCGTGAATGCTTCTATCAAGAAAATAAATTTTGAGATGAAGCTGTTGGCGTCGGTTAAGAATTCATTTCTTACGATTCTCAATCGCCAATATTTTTAGGAAATCTAACGTATTCCTATTCTTAATTCAAATAAAAGTATACGTTGATCGCGGAGATTCTTTCATTGAACTTCCCTCATGTGAATGGCGCGAGTGTAGCCATTTTTTTAATATTTTTCTAAAATAACTTCTTTTCCTAGTTCTTGAAATCATCTTTAAAATTCTCCTTAACTGTTATTATTCCGTCAAATTTCGTCCGTCCCTAAGTAAATGTGAAAGAACCCTTTCTTATGAAGTTCCTACAATGATTTTACCGCTTAATAACCTCTTCTGCTACAAGCAAAAGTAACGAATTCACACTGTATTGTTGTTCACTCTCTTTTTCACTTTTACTTTCTCTTTTACCTTGAACGTGGTTTTAGTTTGCTGTCACTGGTAGCGGCTGGATCAACAGCTTCGGCAAGGCTGGATTTTTTATCACTCGACATAGATGGACCGGCATTACGAATTTTATCTGAAATAGAAAATAATGTGAAATCTTTATAAGCCTGTAGAAAACAAACAAAAAATTGATGTTCGCAAAGCTGCCTGCCATAGATTGTAGAGATTGGCCGCTCGTTGCCTTGCATTTGTTTCTTTTTTTTTGTCTATCTGTCCGTCTGTCCAACTGTGTGGTATCTGTGGCGAGGATTTTCTCGTTCGCAAAAATGAATATGTCGCCTGCAAATTTGCAAAGGAATTTGAAAGCCACTTCAACTGGTCAAAGGTCACGCCTGTAACTCCCACATGTCTATGCAACAGAACTGAGAATACTTTTGCTGGTTATTCATTAGGTACTACACATACGCCATATAAAATTTTAGTTTTACTCTAAAAATAGAAAAAATCGGGCACGCCCATCGAATGTTATAGAACACGAAAATTTAGTTTTTGTCCTTTTTCTTGCTCTTTTTCCTTTTCTTCATGCACTCAAAACTCACAAATTGCGTTCTTACACGCGCAATGGGAAGATAATATTTGGTAGGCGTGGCGAATTGTTTGCACTTATGTAGAATATATGTGAAAATTTTTATTATATCTCAAGGTGTAGATTATTAATCGTGAACAAGGAGCCCAGAAAGCAGAGGCGTTCTCACCTTGTGTTGCACTGCAACATTGTCTTTCGCCCATTTCCCAATAACCAACTGCTTGCAAGAGCTTTCAAAGTCTCTGTCAACTTAGCACCTAATATTAGTTTGGGGAAAAAGAAATCCATTATTTTTATATGAACTTCAGGAGTTTATTTAACATGCTTCGGGATTGTCGGATTTGGGTCAAATATGCACCGTTTTGTTGTATGATTTGTCGCCATTTTAAAGGTAACTTCAAAATGCCTTTCTCATAGAAGTCCTGGTCTCTATTTGCAAAAAACTCTAGTGGTCGATTTTCATAATCCTCCCTAGATTCCAATTTTGGATTTTCCAATCAGTGCAGCCATCTACCGAAAAAATAATGGATTTCTTTTTCCCCAAACTAATATCTTCATGTTTCTGAAGTTGCGGTATAAAGTTAGGAAAATGCTTTTCAAGTGATCGTAAGGATTTAGTTAAAGATGGGGGCGATCAAAATAAACGTGCGGACAAATGTGTTTAAATCAATTCAGAATTCGATGTCGGAGATTTCGGAGAGGTCTGTGAAGCTTCTTTCTGGGTGTTACAAGCTCTTTCAGAAAGTGCATATGTCGCCATATTCCGGTGGTGAGTAAATTAAAAACGGAGATCATTAGGCGAAAAATGTATTCATTTATGTATACTGTGTAATTTTAAGGTTTTATTTAATAATACTTTTATTTATTTGTGATAAACTTTGCACTTTGTTGTCGTATGAACTTGTTTGTAAGCAAATATTCATACATGAGAGCACATATATATGTAATCATATGTATAAAATATACGTAAATGTAAATGTAAATAACCGAGTCCCTGTGTACATGCATATGGAAGTTGCACATAAACTGTAATCAATGTTAGTTAACTTGTTTAAAGTTGCTCTTAATACCTTAAGCTACACATAATTCTGTCGTAATAGTCAAGTGAGGTTACCAGTATAAACTCGTAGTATAATATAATAAATACAGAAGGGTTATTATATGTGTGTATGTGTGCTATGAGTATGCATATATTCTTCCCTTCTTTATGCTTAACGTTTATTTTACTATGTATCCATACCGTTCGCCATAAGTTTTATACATCACGTTGAAAATGATTACAATTTTTTAGTTAATTTTTTTTTTTTATTCTGTCTAACCGTTTGCGGTAAATAATGAACCATGTCTTGACAATGTGTAAGCAACATAGTAGTATAATGGTGTTTATGTGTTGTTTGAGAATAAAAAACAAATAGAATGCTTAAGTAGATATAAGAAGGGTAAAGGATAATAAAATATTAGAATTAAGTATGTAAGCAGGGAAATTGGGTTAAATTGTTTGATATGTTGAGGCTTTTCACTTACTACGCATCATTCAATGGCGTTTACTGCGATAAGGCCGGCATAAAAGCTATAAAATGTATGAAAAGTATCTACAACGTTTTAATATTTTTGAAATTTTCCCCATTCTTCTATGCTGCAAGACAAACGAATACATTGTGTCGCTGCCTGTTAAAGGCTGAACTTATTTAAACGGTGGGGGATGATTTAAAAGGACTAAAAACTGATTTGAAATAAGTGCAAAAATTTATATTTTACTGCTTTGTAAATGTTCAGCACAATAAAGTTCTCTTACCTTTAATTTTGATATAATTGCTACGAGGGCAGAGGAACTCTCAACCAACTACACCGTATATTTATATCAAATGTTTATTTATGAAAATTTAATGAATATTTTAATTTTTTCAAAAGTTTTCTTTGTCTTTTTTTTTGTATGCGACCAGCCAGTCAGGGAATGCTGCCTATACGTGCAAGCACGGTGACGTGGGATTGTCGGGAGAGAAGGATGGAAGGATAGAATAATATTTGTGCTTGTTTGATTGAAACGTGGAAACATTAGGCACGGCGGGAATGACACCCGCTGCTAGATTCTTTCAAAGGCGCGCACAGTGTGGTTAAAGAATATTGCAATTCCAGAGCGAGGGGATGGGAACGCTGAGAAAGCCTCCTAAACTCGTTGAAACATTTAATTGGGGGACAATTTTTTTTTTTCTCTCCGTAGAATACTTGCCATGGATGTACCTACAGTCCACATTGCATTAATGCTCAAGGGTTCGGGTACGCTGATGAACACATGACTGACACATGAAGTAGAGTATATTTGTGTCAATTTAAACGAAGTTTAATTTATGTTTTGAGAATGCTCTAAGTACACAGGTAAAAAATCTATTCCAATTAATGTTTTTCGTGGCTCGTTTGCCTATGCAAGCTATCAGTTGTCTTTCGCCTATGCACACGCGGCGTAATACATTAATAATTTAAACCCAGTTTTAAATTAGTTGTTGTCTCTTTCCCACTCATACACATACAAGGGCTAGCTATAGTAGTTGCTTTAACTTGCTTGCATAGGTATCGTTGTTCATTCGGTTTTCAACCACCAAAAAGTTCGGTCGTTTCAGCAAGCAAAACATAATCGTCCCTTATAGTTGCATATTAAGTCAATTAAAAATTCACGCAATCTTCAAATTCGTTATTTATTCTCGTTTTTGGTTTTGCAATTGTAATTCTCAATTCGCTTTGTTATTAATAGCAAAAAATAGTGGAGCAAAAGGGTTTGCTTCAAACACAAACAGAAGTGATATAGTGTCAAAAAAAATCTCCGGCTTCGATGGACGTTTCTTCGACGAGATTCCGGTAATGAAGGGGCTAACTATTGATTTGGTCCAAACGAACTTTGAAACTGAGTACTATGTGACACCGCACGCACATATTGATGGGTGAAAGAAATAGAATATGATTAGGCTACGAAAGATGAAAGCTTGTTTTTTCTCGTAGATCAGCCACTTCTCAATAATAATTGTCTTAAATAATATTAAATAAATTTCTTTGAATAAAATTTAAAATGCGTTTAAAAACACCAATACTATTAAGCAAATAATTGATTTATATGAAAGTTTTTATATCCGTTTTCTTTCTTATTTTAGCGACGTGGTTTTCTTTCATCGTACACGTATATAATGACGTTTGATGAGTGAATTATTAATGGAGTCGAGTGATTATTTTTTTAGAAAAATGTTGCTTACAAATGCTGATGACAGCAATCTTTTGTTTATATATACTTTGCACTATGCTACAGGGGAATAAATTAAAATTTTTATGTTGTTTAATAATCAATTAGAAAAACAAAATTTTTTAATTAAATGCTAAAGCCTATATAATAAATAACCTTTGGTAAAAAAAGGTGTTTCATTGAAAATTGAAAATCAATTTACAAAATTTCCTGTAAACTCTAAACATCCCGCTGTGCATACGTTCGCATTTCTTGTTACTACTGGCGAAGGATAATTTCAAGCAAGCATACATATATAAATTTTAAATTGATTGTAAAAGAAAATCAAAACAAAATCAAAAAAATAACATATCCATCCGAACTTGACATAATACTTTAGCAATTAACAAATTAATCATATTGCAGTCAACCGCTTTTACGAAGTGGATGGCAGATGAAGAGATCAGGTTCGTCCAGAAATTTATTTTCAGATCGGTTCTCTGCAAAGCATGTGATGCCCAGTTCTAAGTGCTGCAAAATTTTTGAAAATACCTCGACTGGGCATCATAGATACGAAAAAGCGCTTACATATTTTTTCCGCTATTCTGGTTTAGTTACGTCAGCTTACTTATCTTTCTAACTACGCTAGGTTTCGCATACAACTGTCCGCCTTCCCTGTCCACGCCTGCTTTTGCTTCGTTCTGTTACTCATCGTTGAAATTCTCATAGCTGTAATGGTTAGTTTGTTTTGTTAACTGTAAATTTTATTCTTAATGGGTAGAGAACGTTATGATGGCCATGCAATAGGTGTCTGGGGTTATTTTGTTTTTACTCTGTGCACCGCGTCAAAAAACAGAGACTAATTATTTCGCAATCTGTGGGGGAGCCAAGGAGCCTAAATGCCCTTGCCTGTCAGCAAGATCCTAACGTCAGCAATAGTCCCTAGTTGAAATAAAATGCGGGCTTACCCCGTCGTAATCGCTGACCGTTTATTTTGATAGAATGTAAATAATGATCTCTTACTCTGTAACTTATCTCAAGCCAAGTCAGACTTTTTCCAATCGAAGTAAATCCTTTCTGCATAGTTTAAGACCGCCTATCTAAATTAAACGTTCAAATCAAATGGTTCTATCATCACTAATCGATCTCTTTGAAATCCTGACCAGCTCCTTATTGTTCAGTTTTTGCCTTGCCGATATCTTTCTAATCCGCATACCCGCGTCCTACGTTTCATAAGGTCTTCCTAGCGGAAACAACGTCATTCTTGCATGTAGCGCCCCCTGGTTTTCTTAGCCCCTTATCGATGAACAAAATCCACTGTTAGTTTAAGTAGCTAAGT